CGCGACTCGAAACATTTCGTCGACTATCGCGTGCACGTTGCTCTCGCGAAGGCTCTAAAATCGTTTCCCTCGGGATCGACGTGACCGTTTGACACAGAGACTCGATAAAGAAGTTAACCGAGGAAGAAAAGCGCGAGGACAGGTTTTTAGGGTTCTTTCTCGCGAGGCAAATGATTCGGCCGACCGATTCAGCGGCGATGTTCCTCCCGCAATTAGGGATATGCAAAAATCGGAGGACAAATGGCGGTGGTCGGCCACCTCCACTTAGCAGTCAATCACAATTAAATACAATTTTGCGCGAGCTTCGGGGCCTGGTAATGGCGCAAAAAGAGAGCAAATTGAAATCTCCTAGCTGACAGAATGATAGATGGTGCCGGCCAGACGCGAAAACACGGAGAACGAGGGAGAAAGAAAGGGGAAGAAGGAGGGAGAAAGAGGGATAGAGACGGAAGAGAGTTACCTTCCTTCCCTGAACGCTGTGAGAAAGCTCGGCTCTCTTTGCTTCGAGCCGAGAATCGCGACGACGAACGAAAATACAAAAGTCAAGCGGCGGCTGACGTTAATACCGCTACACCGAGCCGATTTCTCCCGGCCAATATCGTTAATCCTCTTCATCTAGAGAAAATGGCAATCCGATCGTACCACGGAACAACGACACTGCGCGTAGCCGATCGAACGAACGAGTGCCACGATGCAGGAAACTTGCAACTGCAATGCAACGTGACTACACGAAATCCTTCGAGCCGATTACCATTGTTTTCTCTCGGCGACCACGGCTGAACGCACCAATTTCGACGAGCGTTTTTCTTCGCTAGAAATTGCACGCCAAAGCGCTTTTCATTCGCTTATTACCGTCAAGTAGAACAAGTCGTTATTTAGCGCTCGATCTCTAGAATTTTCCTGGAAAAGATATCGAGCAACGTGTACGCTTTAGAATAATCTGTAAATCACGAATTCCTCGGATCCAACAGCCACTAATTTAATATCTGTTGGATTTAACAGCGTGCTTCCTATCTTCGTGCGTGGACGAAGAAAAAAGATAGCGCAAAAAGTGCATCGTTCTTGGTAAAATCTAATTAGAATCGTTGGTGATCATCAACGAGCGCAATCGTAATCACGCTCTAACCTGATCGTCGGGATACCGTCCAAAGTGAAAAGATCGGCTTATGAAAAACGCAAACGTCGCATTATCACGCATGCTCAATTAAGCCGTAGAAATTAGCGCTCGGCGGGCAGGTAGCCCGAAGACGGTAGCGACGATTAATCGACGCTCGAACAAAGGAAAACCGGCCTCTTTGTACGCGGCACAAATCTATTTCCGCGTAGCTTCCTCAATTAAGCCGATAGAAATTTATGCGATTCGCTCGTCGATTAGAGAGAAAAGGCTAATTATTCATCGACTCGTTCGCTCGAATGGAGAGGATGTTTAACGCGTGGACAGCGAAGGAGGAACAAAGGGAAGGAAATGATTTTAACGTCAAAAGTGGATGCTACATGACGGCATGTGTGGCCTGTCTTCTCCTGGCTACACGCTCCTTAACCCTTTGCCGTACGATCCGACTTTCGTTTCCTACAGTGTCGTATGCTAACAAATAATTTTCTTACTTACAAAATATTTTCGCGAATATATTACGCGCACTGTACGAAACATTAAAAAAATTTCGTTAGCATCTTAACGAGACACGATTACATTGGCAAACTTGGAAACGTATACGAAACTGTATATAAATGTTACAAAATAATTATTGCGAACATAGTCGATCTAAAATCAGCATAAAGTACGAACAGTAACGTTAAAGCTACAACTAGTGGCGAAATCGTCCAACTATATACCGTGCTTTCTTAACACAGCGAATTGATTGTTCGAACGATTTGATGATATTTGCGAAGCCTGTGCTATCTTCTAACATCCATATACATTTTCATATCTCGATAGTTGCATCTCGTTGCAGCGTTAATGAAATTTCAAACGATCTTTCGTGTACGTACATACATACGCAAAAAGATTGTACGAGCGTCCGAATACTTTCGCGAGCCACTGTAAAGCTACTTCGAATTTCCTACACTGCCAGGTCGTTCCCCTTTGTTTTCCATTTTTCCCGCGATCTTTTACACTCTGCGTACCGCAAGCCTGTGATTCGCGATTTTCACGCGAAAATAATTCCGTATCGCCAGTCTCGCTCCGTGTTACGTTATTTATTATACGGCAAGGGGTGGACACGCTCTGTCTCTGTTCGGTCACGGCGCCGGCAAACAATGCAGGAGTCGCTAATCAGCGGACGAACGCGCAACGTCTTCATCCGTGGACATGGGTCGCACCATAGGCCGCGTTTCGCCATCATAGCAACGCTATTTGTCTTCCGTGCAGGATTTTGCACGGCCGAGTAATGAGAGGATACTCGATACGCTTCAGGTCCGCGGTAATAGTTACGTGTTAAGCCGATGAAGAGAGAAGACTGTACGATGCGCGGCAAAAGGGTGGAGGAAACGGCCGAGTGAAAGAAAACGATTTCCGACTAGCTGAGGCGATTCCGGTAACGCAGGCAGTTTGTTATTCGCCGTGGAAAAAGTGCATTCGCTACGCGAGGTTTTGTTTATTCGCGTAAATATAGCGACTACGTACTACGCGGCCGAGACATCGCGAGCAGAGACGTCGCGTCGACCCAGAGAAACGTGTTTCGGACGCAGATGGGTTACTACTTCTTCGGAGTTTTGTAATCGATTCGTTTGGCGTTTTCTTCCACGTGTCTCTATTCCCGGTGTGCAAAGTTTCAGACGTTCCCAGCGTGTGAAATTTAATGTTTCAAGGTTCAACGTACGACGCCAGTTTTACACCGAAGTAACGAAAAAACATCAAAATATGATGGTCGAATGAAAAAACGTTCGGACAGAATAAAATATTTGTACGATGGAACGTTTGCAAGGATGGAAATTCGAAATTATTTTTCTTGCGTCTAGGTTCTAGGTTTTATTTTTAAAAACCTGTACGTTCCTTACGCTGCTTACAGAGATAAAACATAGTTACGTCCATCGGTCAAATTATTCGCGATACAGAATAACCGTACGAGTTTTCGAACGTTTAACGTTTCGGAATATCATGGAACACGGCGTAGGTAGATCAGAGAGGCGTATTTGTTTCGGCTTTGCGACTTGAAAAACAAGAGGAAGGATCGGCCCTATTTTCAAATTAAGCCTCGTCGTCGTTTCCATTCATTTTCTGGATGAAATGCGCGGTTCGTTTCTTCTCGCGTGCTCGTCTTAGACGATATTATCATAACTCGCTTCTAATTTGTGGACTAGCGACGAGAGAAACGTAAAAGAGACTGAGGGCTCTGTTTCCAGCGGCGCCCTTCAAATTACGGTGTTTTTCGAAAGTATTCGATGAAGATTCGAGAAGTGATCCGGCTATAGTTGTAACAAACGTCGTTGTTCTTTTACCAACGAAGCGGACCGAGGTTTGCTCGAAAGGCGAGATTACGTAGATCGTAAGATGCGAATTTTGCGACGCGATCGTATTTCGGGCCGGTAACACTGCCATCGAGTACCTTTGTAAATAAATCGTACGCTTTATTATACCGTTGTTACGATACGATGTTAGACGATAATCTTAATTTAAGAGGAGATTCCCTTCAGTTAGGCAAAATCAATTCCCACCAATAATGTTCCTCTGATGAGACCAAATGTATTTAAGCATGTGCAATGTTGAATAAAAACCACTTGAAAAATTCAAAACGTTTTACGTTTATTATCCTCTTTATC